CATCCTCTGTCACGAGGCTGCCTCCCCCATTCAGTAAGGAACCCACACTTTCCCTGATCCTCCTTTTGCTATCAACATACTTGTAGAAACCCTTCTTGCTACCCTTCACTTCCCTTGCTAGCTGCAACTCCATTTGAGCATTGGCCTTCCTGACTTCATCCCTGCACGCCAAAGCAATACTCTTATACTCCTCCCTAGTTGTTTTCTGTCCAAGTTTCCACTTCTTATCAGCTTCCTTTTTGTGACTTAGTTTACTGAAGAGTCCCCTGCTAAGCCAAGCTGGTCTTCTGCCATACTTGCTAGCCTTCCTGCACATCGGGGTGTTTTTTCCTGCGCTCTCAGTAAGACTTCTTGAAAGTACAGCCAGCTCTCCTGGACTCCTCTCCCTCTCAGTCTGGCTTTCCAGGGGATCCTGCTCATGAGCTCCCTGAACAAGCTGAAGTCTGCTTTTCTGAAGTCCGGGGTCCTTACATTGTTCTCCATCCCTCCTTTCCTCAGGATCCTGAACTCAATCATCTTGTGGATTAGAGCACCATTTCTCCTTATTTAACCGATGGAGAGACACAAGCTGCTTCTACTGTTATTCTCTAGGAGCACGGCATCTGATAAAGTAAGCTACATTTCACAAAAGCTTCTGCTACATATACATATAAATACACATACACATTTTGTTAGTCAATAAGGTGTAGACCTGCCCTGCTTTTAGCTGACTTCAAATTAACTATGTCTCTCTAGTCTCCATGATATTCATTTGCCCTCATTTACCACAGTATCTGAAGATCTCTCAGTATTTAATAGATTTACCCCCAAAACCTCCCTATGAAGTAAGGACATACTTTTGCCCTTGGTTTACACAGGAGGAAGTATATAGATCGGACTTGCCTACAGCTGCTCAGGAAATCTGAGGGCAGGGACTGATCTTGTTGCATTAATATGGATGCCCACGTACAAAGTGAGAAGCAGATGCCCCACTTCCTGGGTGCAACTACACTTGAAATTAAAGCGAAGCAATACATTCTGGAGCTGTTTGGGCCAGAGTAAACTGCTCCCAGGTGCAGCATTGATACATGCGTCTGGGACAGCAGCAATTCAAGCTGGAGCAGAGTAGGACCAGGCTGGCAGGGGGGCAAGGGCTCAGCTCTGGGCTCTGGGTAGCAGCGTTGGGCAGTGGAGGGGCTGGCTGGGGCACGAAGGTGCTAACCCTGAGGAATTGTTTGGCTAGGCGGCAGGCAGAGGTCTGGCCCCCACCCGGTGCATGTTTCAGCACAGTAAAGGACCCCGCCAGAATATAGTACTGTCTCCAAGGGCACGTCTACACAAAATGTTACTGCGGAGTAGACTAAATGGCTCCTCAGTAAATGTCTCAGAATCTACATGTGCAGGGCAATTAGGCAGGAGGAAGTTAATAAACTCTGCAGCTGGCTAGTACTTGTAGAAGTACAAGTACTATCTTGCTGTGGAGTTTTTTACCCCACAGCACCGCACATGTAGACACTGATATGGCTGGCTGGTGCAAAAAGGTCCTTCAGTGCAGGGGATGCCTGCTGGCTAGACCCACAGCGAAGCACCCTTATGCCCCCGCCAGCTCCTCCACAGCACGTTGAGCCGGGCAGGAGCAGTCCTGGGCTGGCAGGCTGACCCCTGGGATCCCCTGCCAGCTGGGACTGCTCCAACCTGGCTCCAACCTGGCTCACTGTTAATTAATTGACTGCACCCTAATACTGGCGCATGTGCAGACAGTGACACTTTACTGTGGAGCTAATTAGTCTACTCAGTGAAGTGCATGTGTAGTTGCACCCTTTGTGACAATTCAGGGGCCTGCTAAATAAACTCACAACCACAGAAAGCAGGGCAGGAAAGACACTGAACAGGACCTGCAGTGCACTTCTTGGATGTCTTTGAGATATTGCCATTTTTCTGAATTTCCATTTTTTTTCCCCCCCTTTGTAAGGATAGAGGGAATCAGTCATGGCAGAGAAATAAAATGCTGCTGTCAGCACAGATGTCACAACCTGAGAAACCAAGTTGCCAAATTAAAGACACCGGCAAAAGAGCACAGCAGGAGATACTTATCTTTCTTTAAACATTATTATCACTGATTGGAACCTAAATGCCTTTATTTAGTAAGAGTTAAAGAAAAACTATTTTTTGCTATGTTAATGCATGCTCCAGGTAACATGCTGAAGATGCCATGCTATACTGTACTCACAATATTGTGCTAAATAACCCATCACTTAAACTTTATTCCTCAGAGAAATTCCTTTATTAAAAACTACAGTAGGTCTCAAGCTCAACCATTTCAATAAAGTGGGTATCTTCCAGTTCTCAGCTTAAGCACACGTTGGTAAATGAATTCAAGAAGAATATATATATTTGAGATCAATAACAAAGGTGCGAAAGCCAGTCCGCCTTTACAGGATGATCCTGGCATGCCAGAAGTTGCAGGTAATATTAAAATGTATTGGCAAGCTGGAAGTTTTAATAAAGCAAGAGAGCTAGACAGTAAGATCTAAAAAGCAGGAATTCTTAAACTCTTGACTATATAGAAATGCAGAGGGTGCTTACTGGATTTGAAGGTGTTCCTTTTTTGTCAGCTTGGACTCACTGATGAGCTGAGGCCCAGTTCACGAAAGCTTATTCCCTATATATCTTACTTAGCTAGTCTATAAGTTGCATACCTACAAAGCTTTCTGCCCGACTTCAAGGTAACATGGCTAACTACCCTACTTTGAAAAGTGTTGACAGGCAAACCAGTGCTTGTTTTCACACTAAATGATTTGCAAAGCCATTGAAATCCATCTTAGGTATTAGGCATTAATAAAGTAGTCATCTCCACACTTAAAATTTAAGGGTAAAATTTGAGAGGGGATCCTAGCATCTGACCCCACCACTCTTTTCTGCCCAGGGCAGGGGGTCAGTCTCAGTGATCTAATAGGTCTGTTCTGACCCTAAAATCTATGAAAACGATGAATCCTATTTCATATATAAGAATCAGGCTGGAGGGGACCTTAGGGGGTCATCTAGTCCAACACCCTGCTCAAGGCAGGATCATCCCTATCCAAACCATCCCATTTAAGTCCTTGTCTAACCTATTCCTGAAACTACACAAATGACCCTGCCATGCAAGACACATTGCCCCAAAACACCGGGAATAGCCTAACCAGCCACAGGTAAAGCAGGGTGACAAGGACATTATCCATGCACGGTATTCTGCAAAATCTGCTGTGGCTCGCAGGGATCTGGACCGAGGACTTTTGGAAAAGAGCTCGATTTTCACAAAAACAGGATTTCATCGCAATCAGGTCAATAAATTGGGGTTATTCCAGGGAGATGGGGGAAACAGGTGTTTCCCCTCTGTGCCCAGTAAAGCCCTGTACGTCACACTGTGTTGCCTTTCCCCCCAAAACTTTATTCTTTCTGGCTAAGGCTGGTTAGAGCTTCTCTGGGTTCATCTGTAGGTGACTGACAGCGCTCCTTGCCCAGGGGCAAAGGTGTACTAAATCCACGTGCCGAGCTCTGAAATCAGGTCCCTGACACTCTGCTGCATGCTTTTGATTCCCGTCTGATTTCTCGACCTTCTCTGGTCTAGCAATGAACTCGTTTCCAGGCTCTGTCTATATAATCCTGCTTCACCGTGAGTGCCGTGCACTGTAATGATACAAACAACCCTGGGGTTGCTAACAGCATTAAACAAAGAATATGCTGCACCTTGAAATGAACTCCTTCAAAGATAAACACACACACACATTTCTGCCCACGGGGCAAGAACCGCGCACAGCTGGTTCAGAGAGGCACAGATTTTAAGACAAGAAAGGATCATCTAATCAGACCTGTTATATAACAAAGGCCACGAAATTTCATCCGGAGTGTCCTGCATCCAGCCAGCAACTCCTGGCTGAGCTAGAGCAGGTCTTTCAGAAAGACTTCTGGTCTTGAAAGATATATTAGCTTCTTGGCACCGTGACTGCATGTCACTCCGAGGCACGTGGCCACCTTTGACTCATGAGCTGAATCCCAACATTATCCATAACACTGAGACGTGTGCATCAATTTGTACATCTCTCTCCTGTATAAAATGTCTATCTGATGTATAATAAAGCATTTCCCACCCCGTGTAACTGTAGGTCACACCAATATTTCTTTAAAATAATTCCTGTCTGTAGATACAGTATTATTAACTGCGAGACCTGTGCTCAGACAAGCAAGGGCAGATAAAGACCGGTGCCATGCTCCATTTCCCATGAACAATATCTTGCAGTCCCTACTCAGGCAAAACTCCCAGTGAAATCAGTGCACTTTTAAATCCCAACTACATCAATCAGCGAAGGTTTTGTGCCCTCGCATTTAACGGTTTTTCACGCATTCGGGCTCGTGCAAGTGATAATGAAGATTTGATTTGATTTTGCTTTTTTAAATTCATCTCCAGACCAAGAGCTTAAAAAATATATATATAATCCAAGCAGTTGTTTTTGGCCACGCTATTTTCAAATAAGATTAATGGGGCCTTATATGGTATCTTCCTCTAGCTCCAATGATAACAAAACACAAGTTGCCTTTAAAAAGTGCTGAGCACCATTTCCCGGGTCATTATTTACCAACTGCATCATGCGTGCTGGCAGGGCTGCTGTTTTCGATAAGCACTATTGCTTGATTGTAAAGAAACACTCCAATAAGAGGAGAGATGCTTAAATGATGCACTTTTATGACATCTTTCCAAGAACAACAGTAGCTAATTGCTCAGTTTCCTACTGGGAAATGTCTCTTTAATATGTAGATCACTAGATGACTACTCTAATGCAAGGTGCCAATCCTACAGTCATTTAATCATGCAAAAGAGTTTAGCTTTCACTTAGAATACGCTTTATCATCCTTCCAGGTAGGGCAACAGCACAGCAGCCCACATACCATCTGCTCACGGAAATAAAACGGCTTTAAAATGCTTTATTTGCTTTAAATAATATTACTGAATGTATCTGTAGGGTTTTTTTAGACCAACTTACTTGGTGCTGACTGGCTTTAGCCAACTGCTCGTTGGCTGATTCTACATTAGAAGATGCAGTCTCAATGTTGGCTTCAATACTATCTGCAAATTAAGATAATAGAAGGTAATTACAGGGTACAAGCCTAAAGGAATCATTCACACCAAAAGCAAGGCAGCAATTTCCTGGTGGGCACGGAGGGACCGGGAGAGAGTCTCCACCGCTCTCTGTCTACACCTGCACTCAGTCAGAGGCAGAGCCACTGATGATGATCCCTGGTTTATCAGAGCATAAGAAATTGGAAGGCTTTGGATCTGACACAAGGTCCAGTGGAAGGGCTCCAAGAGACTTCAATGGGCGTTGGAAGAGGATCAATTTATTGGACTGATCAGCTCCCCAGAGGACAATTAAATTGATCTGTGGTGTCCAGGGGAAAAATCACAGGGCACGCTTCCCAATTTAGGAAGGCAGGGCTGGAAGGGGCATCATTTGTCCTTCAATAAAGACCTTTGCTTAAGTCAGTTCTTGGCTTTTGAGCCAAGGGGAAGGAAACAACAGGGGGAGGGAAATAACTGATTTATTGCTAATGAGGGTAGCAATGAGGAGAAAAGAATCCCTGGGTCAACCAAAAAAAGTGAGCTTTCAAAGCAACACTCATCTCCACCTAGAAACAAATTTCCTGGTTGCAAAAGCTGCATTTATGGCCTAGATGGGACCTCAAATATAAATCTTAGAAACCATGGCCAATTTTGCTCTTAGGTATGCACATGCAACAACAGCTTGCCTCAGTCAGAGCTGTGTGTATATATTTTAGGGTAAAAATAAGACCACTGGGTATACATAAATCAGCTGGGGAATTTACTACAGACAAATTCAGAAATAAGATTTCATGTCCTGAACTTACTCTTAATAAAATCAATAGGGAGACTTCCATTGGTGTTATTAAGACTTGGACTGGGTCCCTGGCACAGAAAATTTGCTTAATTAATTTATTTTATTTATTTATTTATTTTTTTACTTTCAAAAGGAAGAAAATAAAACACATTGGCCATTTCCACAGGTTGGGGAGAAGAGATGCTTCGGCAGGCTTTAATGCACTCACAGATACATTTTAGAAGACTTGTTGTATTCTTTTTGGTAGATCAAACTATTTTGTCAGGTTGTTAATATCTTTAGGTAATTTTCATAACTTAATTAAGAAATAAATGGGGTTTGACATTATAGACCTATTCAAAATAACTCGTCACAATGAAGGGAGACAGTGTTCTGTTCTCTTAATTTTTTTATTATACATCGCTATACTAGCAGTGAAGAAACTCTATGGCTACCACTGCCAGGGATTGCTAAATTATAATTTTAATGGACAAGCCCACGTGCCCCAGCCTGTTTTTACTAAGGCCCTGATTGCATCTGAAGGGTGTCTGATATTGTTCTATTCTTCCCAAGTGATTCTCTTTGAATGACTGATATTCAGTAGCAACAGCGAAAAAACTTAGTGGAGGAGCCTAGGAGGCAGGCCCCAGGTGCATGTCAAATTTGGTTTTCTGGGGACTTAAGAAAGTTGTTCTGATGTACCACAGAATTATGAACGTTTGGATATGTATATGTATCCAGACAGAAGTCATCTATAGCCTTGCACGGATTCTAACATACTGCTGGGATAATGATGGAATCTTTTCTCTCCCTTTTGTTGTTAATATGAGATCAAAATGATATTAAATCTTATGCAAAAAAATGTAGAAAAATACTGAGGGTCAGTCTATAACAGACTCAGGGTCCTGTTGGATTTCAGTGCAAGCCAATCATCTGTGGAGGTACCCAGCCCCCATATATTAGCGGACTGTGTGGAAGCCCCTGCCACCACATCCTCACCACCACCATAACACAAACTAGCTAAAGGCTGCATAGATGTATCGGCACATCTTCCAGTCATACCTCCTTGGTGTAGAACCAAACTCTAGGATTCAGTGCTAGCCCTGGTCTTTTGCCTGTCAGGTATTAAGTAGGCCTGTGCAAAGCAACAAGTATTTGATTCGGATTTGGTCAAGTCGGATTCGGAGATTTGGTGCCGATTCAGAGATTCGGCCATAGACTATAATGGGGAATCACTAAAATACCTATAACTGTCATTTTTTTTGCAGATTTGGATGGGAACAGAAGGGATGGTGGCCCCTTCTGAGTGCATGAAGCCTGCCAAGTTTCAAGGAGATAGGTGCAGGGGTTTCTGTGAAAGTGCACCTCGAAACTGTCGAAAGCAAAACGCGTATCACTTGTGTGTGTTAAGGCACAGTGGGATGAAAACAGAAGGGATGGCAGCCCCTCATGCAGGCATGAAGCCTGCCAGGTTTCAGGCAGAGTGGTGCAGGGGTTTCTGGGAAAGTTCACCTTGAGGCTCTGAAAGCAAATTAAAAAAGCAAATAGGTGTGGAGTAAGGAGGGTGGCACTCACTCCATCTGTACATGGAGCTTGGGGAACCCCAGCAGCGGGAGGTTCATGTTCAGAAACACCAGCTGCTCCACCAAACCAGGATCCAAGTAGGTGGGGTGGGGTGTCACAACATCACCAGTGATGCTGAACACCCTTTTGCTTGGAACACTGGTCGGTGGACAGGACAGGTGTTCCCGGGCAAGCGGGGTCAGATCCTGCCACATCTGGCTGCGGGTTGCCCAATAGGCCAAAGGGACGGGGGCTTTGGACCGAGAGGGGGACTTTTTTCTGGGCACGCTCCCACCAGTACCAGGTTGAGGAGGAACAAGGGCAAGGGAGTTCTTCCTCCTGAGATGTAGCAGCATTGCCGTGGTGGTGAAGTGTTTCACCTCTGCCCTGGCTGATCTGCTTTCAGCAATGCTGGCAGGTAGCATACCTGGGATCATCTGCCACCCCAAAATGATCCAACACTACACTACCCACCTGCTTGTGGGTTGAGGGTGAGCATTCTGCCTTATCCCCCTCTTCACTAGGCAGAGGCACAGCAACAGGAGGAGCTGATCCACCTGCATCCACAACCTCCTCCAAAGTGTCTTCCAGAGAAGGAGACCTGCCCCTAGGGGAGCTTAGAGGGGTGTGGAGCACAATCTCAGAATCCCCTACCTTCTCCAGAATTTCCTTCGCTATGGTCCTCAGGTCCTCTGCTTCTAGATCCAGCTCCTCCTCTGGCACTGAAAGGCTCATGCTGGGAACTGAAACTGGGGTAGATAATGTCATGCTGCTGCTGGTTAGTGGTGTTAGTGGTGGTGGTGCAGGTGCGGCACTGCTACCACCCCCTTGCTCCCACAAACCAAAGACTCATCATTGCCAGGAATGAGGGTGCGTCTGTTTGGAGTGGGGGGAACTTGCAGCTCTCCCTCTGCCTCCTCTCCTTCCCCTGCCAGAAGACCTGGCGCCTGCCTTTCCAGCACACTTCATAATGTTTGGTTTGCTGCAAAATGTGCATGTGTAATATACGTTGTGCTTTCCTGCACAGTGATGACACACTGTCAGGGAAAACACAGGTGGGGGGGGAGGGGAAGAATCAAGACAGACTAACGAGAACAAATAAGATGATTTTGGGAGAAGAATAAGTTGAAAGGAATGGACAGGGATAACAATAGGGATTGTAGGCAAGGGTAAGTAGGAAAGGATTGGATACAACTTACAAGAAGAGAGACTAGCTACCAAGAGACTAGATAGCAAGCCAGAGCCTTTCAGACGCTGCTGGTCTGAAAGAGACAGCTCACAAAAGGCACAGATCACATTAGACACAGCTTGATATGTTGTTTCTACGTCCCTCCCCACCAGCACTGTGATTGGAAGGGAACTCAGAGAAAGATCACAGTCACTGGCCAGCTACAGATGTCAATATGAGAGCAGACTCCTCCCCCCGCCCAGCCTTTTCCATATATGGAAGATCACCCCTCCCCCTCCCTCTTCTCAGTTTCTGTTTCCTGTAAGCCTTCCAAATCTCCGAAACTGTCCGAATCGATTCAGAGGCTTCCAAATTGATTTGGATCTTTTAATGGGTCTCCCAATTCAATTCGGATTCGGAGATTCAGCTGTCGAATCAGGCCAAATCTCCTCCAAAATGAATCATCTACCGAAGCTTCGCACAGCCCTAGTATTTAGATAAGGAGCAAAGGTATTCCTAACCTTATTTAGAACCAAGCAAGTGGGGTAAGAGATGCAGCTTCATGGAAGACAGTGTAGGTACATCAATTTACACCAGGTGAAAATCTGATCTTATCCTGACCACTCAGAACTTATGTAACTGAAGCTCCTCAAGGTTTTCCACTAATGTGATGGTATTTATCATGTCTAACAATACCAGTATAGACAGACACACTGGATGGGGAGACAGGGGGTGGACAGATGGGCAAACAAAGGATGATGAGAAAGGATGATCATCCTACTTGAGTAGTGGCATAGAAAGTTTAAGGAATTCGACTGCCGTCCAGACAAAATAAAGAAACTCATTCCCTAGGGCGACCTATCACCTGAGCATGTCTCACCCCTTGACGTATGAAATGATGCCTCTTAAAAGATCTCCTCTGCCCTGGAGTAATAGGAGACTATATAAACCCCATGATTTCTTTTTATTTGCTTGTTTTGGTTTTGGTTTTTTCCCCCTTGAAGAACAACCCGCATCGTGCTTTGCAAATATTAGACACTATTTTTCCACAATGCAACCTGCCTGGCTAGGTACAGACACTCTAAAAGGCCAAGGCAGAATTGATCTAAGTTAATGGTATTTTCTCTCTGTGGCTTAAAGTTGATCAGTAGCAAGCAGACCACACATTCACCCTTTGTTGAGGGTGCAAATCTTAGACCAGTTTCCTCCATTTTAAACACAGTTTGTGTGTGCAGAACTTCTGTTCTGTAATGGGTATAGACCAGTTTCTGATCACTTATTCTGGTTAAAATGTAATGTCTATCCCTGGCCCCTGAAATCAATGCATCTCTATTTCAGAATGAGCTAGATCGTGAGTGTCAAACATACATCCCCAGCCTGCAGAGCCATTTTACCCAGCCCATGGGACTGGTAGAGGGGCCACAAATTCAAGGGCAGTGAAAGCAGAAGCAGGGCTTACTGCTGAAATCCAGGGCATGGAGCCCTGATAGGCAAACCCAC